AAAGAAACAGAGGCTCGAGTAGCTAAGGTCAGCCATGAGATATCTGTGGATGCCATCATTGAGATTGCTAACAAGATATCAGGTTGGGTTGGTACTTTAAAAAGGATTGGGTGGCTACGTAGAACCGTCGTATGCTTTAAAACTCCGGGGACTCGTCACAAAGATTTGTCTGGGATGGAGTTAGAGGAAGCTAAGTGGGCCATCATCAGAGCTTATCAACGTCAGGCATATAACACAGAGCTTGATACGCTGTCAAACGGAAAAGACATCAAGACAGGACTATTGGTGGGTAAGTGCGCATTTATTGATGATAATGGTGTGCTTCGAATTCGTTCTAGGTTACAAAACGTAAAACCCTTGGAATGGTCGCAAGTTTGTCCAATCGTATTGCCAAAACTCAACATTGATCCAAAAACAAGCGATGAAGACTTTAATAAAGTATGTCCTTTAACAATGAAGCTGATTCTGTATTTTCATTTGGAAGTAATGCATGGAGGAGTCGACAAAGTTCTGGCTGCTTTAAATCAAGAATTTTACTTGCCAAATGGAACGAGAACGGTCAAGAGTATGATTTACAGATGTGTAAAATGTAGAATGCACAAGAAGCAGGTTCAACATCAACTCATGGGGAGCATACCAATGGAGAATGTTACACCATCACCACCATTCTATCATGTGTCGTGTGATGCTTTCGGACCACTCCAGATCAAGCACCAACCTGGAAAACGCACGCGTCTAAATGCTGATGGTGAGGAAAGACCAGGGGGCAAGGCATGGGGTATCATATTTGTGTGTAGAGCTACCCGTGGAGTTCACATTGAGGTTGCATCAAGCTTGTCTGCTGAGGAATTTCTAATGTGTTTTAGAAATTTTGTAGCGACACGTGGTTTACCTAGGTCTGTATTGACAGATAATGGTACGAATTTCAAAAAAGGCGGCGATATGTGTGTAAGTTTGACATCAGCAGAGCTCACAAAGCAACTTAGAGCAGCATGTAAGTCAAAAAAGGCTAATGCTAATGCAGCAAAGGTAATAAATAAGTATCTCAGACGTGATTCTGAGATGGAGTCAATGCAAGAGGCTATTGACTATGTAGAGAGTAAGTACAAGGGGCAACAGGTAATTTTCTTAAAAGGAAAAGGTGATTTGTTAAAATTTAGTTTGTCACCATGTTACAGTCCTTGGTTTAATGGTTTAGCAGAATCGGAAGTAAAAGTTGTGAAATCACATTTAGTTAAAATCATTAGAACAGTTTTGCTTAATGCAGCTGGGCTTCATTCAGTTTTGAAGAGAATTGAAGCTGTGATTAACAGCAAACCGATAGCTGTCACGAAATCTGATGACAATTCACGTCCGTTGGTCGTTACTCCAGCTCATTTTTGGGCTTCGCGTCCTTTAGTGGCATTGCCATCAGGACCTATTCCAAAAACAAATGGTCAGGCTGTGGAACTGACCAAACGAGCCATTATGATGGATCAACTTGTTGAAAAGTGTTGGGAAGTTGTCCAGAATAAGCATTTCAATGAGTTGAAGTCCAGGCATAAATGGTTTAAGAGAGTTGAAAATCCTCAAGTAGGGGAAGTCGTGCTGTTAAAAGACAAAAACAGCAGCGTTAATTGTTGGCCTAAGGCAGTTATTACCAAGATACATCCTGGCAAGGATAAGATTGTTAGAGTAGTCACTGTAAAGAATTCATTAGGTCATACACATGAAAGAGCAATGACGGAAGTAGTCACTTTGCCTATCATTGCTAATATACAGTCCAACAAAAATAATGAGGCTACTGATAAAATTGATCAGAAGTTGATAAAAAAGCAAGAAAATAAAGTTGAACAGCCTAAAAGACAAAGTGCTAGATTAGCAGCTAGAAATTCTAGCAAAACATTAACATTTAGTTTGTTAAAATTCATTGTATTAATTAGTTTCGTACCAATTGTTTTAGGCAGGGTGTTAATACCGCAAAAAGCGTTTGGTGGAGCTATGGTGTTCGATATTGCGACAACATGGAGGAAAGCAGGTGACATTAAGTGGGAAGTCAGCACTGGAATGTATCCACAACAAGATCACGAAACTATTAAACGAGCAATGAATAGTTATGAAGTCCAATGCAATCGTGCAAGCGGATTTTCAAAGTCTATATGTACAGCAAATCTTGATGTATTGAGAGCTTCATCTGATAATGTTAAACGACTCATTGGAGAATTTAAACAACCAGAAAAATCAGAAAGACGCAGTAGGTCTAAGAGAAGCACTGATAATGAGGGAATTGTTACACATCTATGGAGACTTTTGTTTGGTTATCATCAGAATAAGCCTAGTTATGAGGCAATTCAACATCTGTCAAAAGCACAAGAGTTAGCAAACAAACATCAAAAAAGCATTGAAGAGAAGGTAAACAGCCAACTGTTAATATTGACGGATGCAGTAAATGAGTACGAAGCGACGTGGGACAATAGAGATGCAGAATTGAAACAGGCTTTGCAGTTCCAACACGCTCATAGTCTCATCAATGAGCATTTTGAGTATATTTTTGAGAAGTATACTGAGGCAATAATCACAAACGAAGAAATTCAAACAATGATTGGAAAATTAAAAGCAGATCAGATCCATGTTCCAAACATAAGATTAGAACAGTGGAGAGAAATGTTTGACATAAAGATCGTCCTAAAGAACAGTCAAATAATTTACGAAGTAGTGTGGCCGATTCTACATGAAGATACATTAAAAGTATTCAAAGTAATTCCAACGCCAACGGTTGATGGACAAATTTTAGATTTTGAACCACAAATCGTGATTATGAATCCCGTCACAAGTATGTACGTGAAGGAGTTTCGATTGATAAACCAGATTAACGTCACACATCAAGTGATTGAAGCTTCAAGATTAATGAAATTGTCTAAAAAGTCAGCGTGTCCAGTGGCAATTACAATGAATGAGATGTCAATATCATGCGTTTATAAAAAACTACCTGAAGAATATGATTATTGGGTTAAGGTTATTCCAAACGTCTATTGCTTCGCTAGTAATGTTCAAAAGGAGAAAATATGTCATCCAAATTCGAGAACAAAAATTGATGGAATTACTGGTACAGTGATTTTAGAACAGAAATGCTTCATATCCACAACCTTTAATCAGATTGATTATTTAGAAGATCATCAGGAATCTGGAAATGTTTCATCATTCCACATTCCAGAATTAAGTTGGAACGTATCAGAAAGTACAACTCCACACAAGACAATTCTAATTGACAGTTTAGTCAATCAAGATGCAAAGGAGATTCAAGAGGAAATCGATCTTGGAATAGAAGCAAATATCCCAGAACGAAAAGAAGATGATTTAACCACTTTGATGTTTGCTGTGTTGGGAACCATCGTTGCGATCGTGCTAATCACGTTAATAGGAATCTGTTGTTGGAAGCGCAGGGAAGCGGTAACTGCAGTCAGCATCAAGATGGAGCCCGTTGCACCGAATACGGATCATCCACCTATCAGAACACCAGAGCCATCACCTAAACGCAAATAATAGGGTTTATTAAATTCGTGAGGGGGGAGTAATGTTAATATACGATATTAACATATTTATTTATCTATGATATACTTTTATACTTTCTATAAATTTCACTAGATGTCACTTTAGTATATCCAAATTATGCTTTAGATTTGAATTATTTCATGTCGTTAATGAATTTGATAATCATTAGGTATTTCATAATTTATTGTAATGTATAACTTTAGAATGACGTTATGCTAAAGTTGAATATACTTTCATTCAAGGGCATAATAATTGCAGTGCCGTGTGCAATTTGGTGTGCACATTCCTTTGTAAGGCCTTGAAGCAATTAGTATAAAAGAAGATAGCATAGCATGAATAAAGGAGTCTATTTTTTATTATCAATAGATCCAGACCTTCTTGTTTTAAATATTTATCAACTTCACCATTTGCAGTTGTGCAACAGCATCCATAAATCATGGAAAATCACAAATTATAAGTCTCTTCACTCAGGGAATAGCCAGAGAGGATATTTTGTAGTCAATTTAAAAAAATCCAATCAACAATAAATTTCTGGTAAATGTTACTGTTGGAATATGCGATTCCATGTAATAGTGGTAGGAGCATGTGACTGAAAATAGTTTGACGGGGTTCGAGTCCCGCTCGGGATCCGTTTTGGTTTTGTCATCTAGAAGTTTGCTTCTTCCTTCTAGGGGTCATTCACTTATGACGTCCGAAATGAACGGTCATTTTTCAAAAAAAACAATGGATTTCCAGGAATTTCTATTGTTCTTTTCTTGCTGACCCCCCCCCCCCCCCCCCCCCCATCATAAGTGAAAGGCCCCCTAGATGTTTCAATAGTTACTTCATAACATCCAACAAACTATACACTTCATCTATTTCACTATAAGGCTAATTCATATATGACGTCCATTTATTGAGGGAGGAGGGAGTCTGAGAATTTATGATAACTCAATGTAAAAGATGATAATTTTTTAAATTTAGGGTAGTAAAAATCTCGATTTTCACTAATATCATTTATGAACGACCCCTTATATCAAGACAAAATTAATCTCCAATTTAAAACTTTTCATTAATAAACAAATGAAATCAAATTATGATGACATTTAACTATGCTTATAATTCACGTTGACTCAAGCCATTCACTCATCATTTATTTATGATATAAATATAGAATTTTTAATTATGTCTCTGTAGCTCGACACTTGACATATTCATAAGTCCGTAAATCAACGTTATGCTTCTTATAACTCAGAGGAAATAAAAATGTTTCTTGACGAACACATTTGTTGCAGAAATCAAAATTAATTTATCGACGACGACGAAGTTTGGTGACGAATAATTCTTTTTTGTAATTAATTAATTCCTTATTAATGTTAGATGGGGTTTTGGTTTCAAAAAAAAAATTCTCAATCTCAATCCTTACAAATTTACCAATATCGATACATCCGTACTTTACTCGAGTGGACTAAAAATATCGCCGAAGCAACTCACGTTTGTTGCCATAATAGTAAATGATTTGTGCTGTCTTCACGTCCAGCTATCTCATTCATTGTATTTGTACCAGTTGTGCGAAAATCTTCAAATCCATCACCACCAGAAATGATTAACATGTGACTTAAATTGTTATTATTATTGTTATTATTGTTACTACTTGGTGTATCTGAACTTTTGGAGTTTCGTTTGAGGGAGGATGTCGTATCGCAGCTTATGGCATCATCAAGTTCTATTGATGTTAAGAAACGCACGTGACCGGTGTGACCTTGTGGAATGCCTTTATAAGGAAGAAAGTAATGTAAATGTCAAAGGATTTTCCTAGAACTGCATTCAAACCTGTTACTACGGGTGTACCCTTTCCAATATTCTGTGCTAAAATTGTAAGCAACACACCAGCACTCGTGCCAACCCAAATAATGTCTTTACATGCTAACAATGATGTTACTCTCAAACATGCAGCCTTGTGTTGTTGAATTATATTATCACAATTGCTAAGCATTTTATTCACAGCTGGTGCTAAATTCACTTCACATATTACTTTTAAGCTATGAAAAAAAAAATTTTAATAGGACAAAATTATAATTTAAAGGTCGGAAAATTCATTCATTTCCATGAGACTCACTTGTTAACATTACAGCATAAAATTGTTGCAGAGTTTTGCAATGAGATCCAAACATGTTGGTTGAGGAGGGTCATATTAGAAATTGGCTTTGATTCGCTCGATATTTCTGCGTTATTTTCAACCTGAAATGAACATTTGTGGATTTAATACTGAGTACAAGACCATCCCTGTGCTCCCAACTAACCTGTAAAGTGGACGTATTGAGTATCTTAACATAATTTGCAATGGCACACCATAACTTTCCATAAACATTTAATAATTTGGTAACGGGTGATGTTACGGAAGATCCAATCGACAGCACCAATGGATTATTTGTATTCCATCCGGAATCTTTTCGACTATAAACACATATATCACCATTTGCTAATGAAACAAAGACACGCTTATCCATATATAAAATTGAGTTAACAGCACTGACGTGTTGAATTTTAATCTTGTTCTTTTTTATACGAATATTGTCAGTACAATTGTAAACATGAATGTATCCATCTTCTGTACCGAGCCACATTTGGCTCTCACCATCGTCGCCTGATGTTGACAATTGTTGTTGATGTTGTTGTTGCTGTGACGATGTATTTGAAATGATTGATGGCGATACTGATCTATCTTGAACGGTGACAGTTGTGGCAGTTGACGCTTCTGGCTCCGAGTCGCTGGAGCTACTCGAATCAAGTTGGATATTTGAATCGCTTTGAGTTGAGGATGACTTTACGCTCATTGTTTTATTACTAATTGTTGATGAATTTGAAATGCTAAGCAATGAGGAACGATTTTGGTCCTCATTTGTTATAATACTGGAATTATTGAGATTGTTCATGCTGGACGAACGATATTCATTTGGATTTCCGGGTACAGATGTGACACAAAGGATTCGTGCATTACAAACGCCATTACATGATGTAACAGTCGGTTCAGGTTGATTGAGACTTAATACGCAAACTTGCCCAACATATCCATCACTATTACACACCCAGACATCTTTTTGTGTACCTAATGTAGCTGCTGCACATGTAAATTGTAGTCCAGCACGAGTCTTTCGAATTGGAACTGAAGCAATAAATTCTGGAACTTGAAATCTCTCAATCGACGCAATCAGTTTTTGTTTTGTTTCATTAAACGTCTCTTCCCACTGCGTACGTTTCTCTGGCTTTGAGAATACTATTGACATGTTCTGTGTTCCAGATCTAAAAGTATAAAAAGAATAAATAAAGTAAATATCTTTCATCTGTATCCACATCAACTTACGGTCCATTAACATTTAATTCCAGTACATTAAGTTGTGAATCATTTGCTTGCCGTTCAGACAATTGACGTTGTACATTGAGCTGCAAATCACGAATTGATTCTTCTAAAATTTGATGTGGACATCGAAGATTTGTTGAAATTTCCAGAATCTGTTGAAGCTTGTTAGAATCTTCTATTAGATGCTCAATTTCCTTCATTATTCGTCGAACATTTTCATCTTTTGCTGTATTGTCATTTTGTATTGGAATCATGAGATGGTATGAGGAAGAGATAAATAAAAATTCATGTGAAGTAATGAATGACTCATTATTATGGCTCAATAAAGAAAGAATCGTCAACGTTTATCACGTGCCATCAATAATTGTGCAAATGATTGAAAAAAAAAATTCTTTTCAGCACTGCCGCATTTTTAAATTTAATTTCCTTCTTTCTATTAGCATACAAACTTTGTTATCTGCCTTTTATTGATTTTCATGTGTTATTTTTAGATAAATTATTTTTCAAGAACCACAATGGAAGGAGCATTTCGTAAATGTGCTGTTTTAGAAAAGCTTATGGAAATTTTAATGTTATATGATTTCAGATGCAACAGGTGGATATTCTCTGTTCTACATAACAAAATTGTTAAATTTTCACAATCAGTAAAGTCATGAATAATTGAATTTTATTCGTGGATGGTCAGAGGAACATAGAATCATTGGATATCTACAATTCTATCGACATGATAGCTACAAACTTAATATATATTGCTGATGCAATATTTACTACAAATAATAAAGATTTTGATGTCTCAACACAATCATACCTAAATCCACATATCTAGTGACGACACAAAGTTCAGTGCATCCAATAATGACGTCAAATTTCTATTTATTCAATCCACACTAATATAAAATAATTTATCTTTATGACAGATTTCCAGGAATCAAATTGATTTTCTCACAATCACTGATCCATTGATGCAAAACAACAGCCTTTTGTTATCAAAAGTAATAAACAAAAAAAGTATATGTCATTCGACAGTGCTGTAAAGCAGTCATAAAAGTGCAATCAAGGAACATTGATAAGACACAAATCGCAATTTTGATAAGAGGAAAAAGAAATGTTTTTTTATAGATGTTATATAACAATTATATCGGTTAGTACACACAGAGGGAAATGTATACGACACAGCAATACTAGTAATCATATCCATTATCGGTAAATGCCTTATCATTCTTACATTGTTACGTGAATTGATAAAGCTTGAATTTTAGAGACTGTGGCTCGTCAGGCACTTTGGGATATATAGCTTTAAATTGTCAATTTTGTAGGATTCGAACCTATGATGTCATAAGACCACATCTTTGTTTAAGAAAGTTACAGAATTCTGGTATATTTCCTAACCACTCGTCCACAGAGGTCTTACTCTCGCACTGGCAGATTCGCCTACATATGGCTTGTTATACGTCACCACCCAGAACTACTTTTCAGCCTGATTTTGGCAACATTTCTCAAAATATTAATGGTCTGACCTTTTTGACATATCTAGATGCTTAAAAAAGCAACAAAGTTCTAATCATTCACGTATATATGCGCTGGTGTCATTACCAATCCATCCATACAATACTTGAAGGTGTTAATTCGATGATATTTTTACCACAGTCAATTACCCCTTAAATTCGGATCATCATTTCCTTTCAAGTGTAAAATATCTTTCCCATACACTTCACAATTTTGTGTCTATAATGTTGCATGGATTATAAATTTGAATTACTAATTACAGCAATTTATAGAGTTGACAAATATTGACCTAAATAGCGACCATGATATTGACAGTCAACTGTAATAATTATAACTTTTTTTTTTATCAACATTTGATACAAGATACACATTCTATATGAGTTGATTTTGTGAATAGACGAGACCAAAAGTAGAAATATTATTTTAGTGTTTGTTTAGGTATTCAACTGTTCACAAGGTGGCACCAAGGCATAGATTAGAAAAATGTCTAACGAGAATACAAAATTCATCAACTCATTGTTCTTAAAGAACCTTATTGAGCAACATTATGGACAAAAGGAAGTGAAAATAAAGACATATAGCGTCGAGCCACCAAGTGAATATGGCAGTGCCCTCACTCGTGCATCCATTAATCGTGTCTTTGTAAAATATTCAGCACAAAATGTAAAAGAGGATGTAATCACATTTGTCACAAAAGTCAAGCCTACAAAGGGTGAATTGAGTGAGGAATTTAGAGTCAGTGGGGATTTCGCAAAGGAAATTCAAATTTATCAAACTGTCCTGCCGGAATTTAACAAAGCTTTGAAGAAGATTGGAGAGAAGATTGATTTTACGCCAAAGTAAGAATAGACATAATATCCATTTGGGGATTGTTTATTTTGAGGATGGAAGGGCAATGAACGAAAACTCTCAAGTGGATATTTTTTCATATTTTTATGGCATAAAGACTAAGCTTCTTATCAATTTTTACAGCATTGTATCCATCTTTTCATCACCAACTGATGGTATTATCTTTGAAGAAGTAACAAACCGTGGATATCACATTCAATTCGACAAAACAGGATTGAACTACGAGCAAAGTGTGTTATCACTTCAAAAGCTTGCATGTTTCCATGCATCAAGTGCTGTTTTAATGGAAAAGGTAGGAAGTAACTATAGATTTTGAATTGCTATAGAGAAATTATTGATTTTGAATTTTTGAATCGAAATTGAAGCAATTGAAAGTATTTAATCTGTGAATTTAATGAAGGCATTACCTACTTTCGTGAATAATATTATTTGAATCACATGATGGATTGAAGAATCAAACATGGAACGTTTAAATTGGTTCTATTGTCCAACTAGAATTAGTCTTAGTCCTGCAATAACTTTCCCCTCCCAATAAGTTCTAAACTAATCATCACTTCAATTCCATTACATCCACAGGGATCAGACGATCTTGAAATGTTTGCAAAAGGAACCTTCCATAATGATTTCAAAAACAAAATGGAATATTTCAATGAAGCTTATCGCATGGTTGTTGATAATGCTAATGGATTGGGAATCGATGGTGCCATTCAACAAAAATTGAGAGAGTAAGTGAATCTTATCATTTGGATGGGTGATAATGGAAATGTAAATTTACAAATAAATCATTTCAGATTCTCATTTAAAGTAGTTCCGAAAGTAATTGATGACTATACAAGTGCCATTAAAGGATTCCGTGTTCTTAATCATGGAGATTTTTACACGCGTAATATTTTCTTTAAATACAAGGGAAATGAATTAATGGATGTTTTGTTTGTTGACTTCCAAAATGCTGTTATCGGAACACCACTAATTGACTTATTCTATTTCCTTCAAACATCCGTTGCCACTAATGTACTTGCATCATCACGTGATGAATTGATTTACTTTTATCATGATGCACTTTCAACAATGCTTCAGAGCTTGGGCTATAAAGGACAATTTCCTTCATTAAATGAGCTTCAAGTTGAGATGCTTAAACGCAGCACTATGGAGTTCTATTTTAGTTTGACACTCGCACCATACTTGAGAATTCCACAACCAAGAGTCATTACTGCTGTGCAGCCATCACTTTACAAGGAGGAATACTTGCAACAACTTAAGAATCATGGAAAGACAGTTTTATCCATGTCCAAGGATTTTATTCAAGGACAACTAAAGAGATTTGATGCTTTAGGTACACTTGACTATACAGGAGATGAAAGCCGCATTCGAGGCATTAAAAATCGTTTTGCAGCAGCAAGAATTTAAAGGAAATTGTATTGAAGTGATTTGTGCTTTGTTGTTCACTATCTTATCGAGCATATACGTGTATATGTCATGTGAACTACTTAATAATGATGAATAATGTTATATTGAAAGACTTGTAATGACGACATTAATTATTGAGCCATAAAAAGTTATGTAAAAGAAAATAATCTTACATTTTACAATCTCTAAGTCGTCTAGTGGAATTTTGGTGAGAAATTTGTACTTGTTTGTGTCCAGTGTTGATGAGAAACTTCCTGGCATACTGTAAGAGACGGTTAGGTATGTCAAATTTAGTGCTAACATCACACATGTCATATCCAACCTGTTTGGCTTTCTATAAGTACCGCTTCGCTTCTTTATGCTTGTAATTACAAGAAGATCCGTAAAAAGAAAAAATCCTCGTTCTTTCCTACCAGCCTGACCCGATGGCATTGATACAAGCTCAAATGATACAAATGCCCTATCAGATGACACTAAATCTGTAATTCCTTCAATTACGTTCTCCAATTCACGCAATGTCGCCTCGCGTTGACCATTCTCGAGTGCTTCACGCTCTTTACAATTTAATTGAACGAGAATCTCGTGGACGAGCTTGAGTGCATCTTGACATCCTGTATAATCAGGATGATCAGAGTCTGTGTGCTTTATTAGTCTTTGAAATATTAACTCATAATTTGGAAATTTTTGTATAGGCTTTATAAGTAAGTTGTCTAGTGATAATTTGCCTTTATGTTCACGTGCCATTGCCTCTAAAAATTTCGCAAATGCTGGTTTTGTCGTTTTGGTCGTTCGAATAGCATCTTTCGCTTTGTTCCAATTATTTACAAACGCTATGTAAGTTTCTAATACTATTGGTTTCGAAAACTGGAAAGGAAATGGATTAAATTGAATATTAGTCGATTAGTTGACAAATGTGTTGTTGACTGTCTTTTTTTCTTACTCTCCATATTTTTTTTACTAGGCTTAAACATTATAAAAAATTCTCAGGGTATCTGACTTTAGTTCTAGCTATGCTATGACCTAGATAAGAGCATTTAGTCTGATCCAGTTCAACAACACTGATTAGCATTAAAAGTTCAGTACTCACAACATTAAAATAAACATCACCGATACATTGCATTGGATCCCATGCATCTAAACGCTTTTTAAGCTCCTCTAGGTAATTCTCATGTATATTGAGAATCGACGGAACCATAAAGAAAATTTCTTCTACAATTTGAACATCAACAATGCCAGAATATTCAGGTAACTTGAGGGGATTTAAATATTTCTGTATAAAATAAAAGAAATGAAAATGTCAGCATTGATTCGGATGAGAGATGATTAATTAATTATGCATTTGATTCAAGTCAAACTCCCGAGAGATGCATGATTTTTCAAGGTATCCACAGCAACTGCCAAGTCGGTCACCTTTTCATCTTCTCCATCTCTCTGAGGCATCATTAATCTTAATGTGATAGATATACATACCAGTACTATTGTTTGTAAAGACTCAACATATGATTTCTCTGTATTAAATAACTCAACAACAACATGTGTTCGAGTGTCCTGAAAAAAGATTGATGAAATGTTTGCATTATTAATTTTATTGCAATGAAAAAAATAAAAGTTAAGAGAAATGGAAAGACTTTCTGCAAAGTAGAAATGTGAATATCGGTGGGATTTGTAATTTGTAAATTTTATAGCTCATTTTATGACTTTTTCAATACTCTTTGAGTTTGTCGCGTTGGTGTGAATGATGCAGAAGGTTTGTGAATTTACTTTATAAGTTCAGGGACATAGCGAACCAATAAAATCTACTCTGATCCCTTTAGTTGAACCCAGAGAAATGCCTACCCTCAAATATCAGACATCTTAAGTGAGGATTCCATTCATATGAAGCTTTTAAACCTAATTTGTAATTAAAGCTACGCAATAAATTTATAAAAGAAAATTTAAAAATCAAAAATTTCATTTCAAATACGCCACGAGTGTGAAGATGATTTTCCGCTGTAATTTTTTTTGAAGTTTGTTTAATGATTCATCTTTTCACCTTTCATTGAGATGATTTGTTCTTTTTCGAATTATTAATAATGCATTCGAAAAGTGAGTGAATGTGTGCAATTTTTCAAGAGGTAATTAAAAGAAGGAAAGCTCATCAATTTGTCGAAATAGTTTTTAAAGCAAGGTTGAGATACTTTTTTTTCATAATTAGTGAAAATTTAAATTCATAAATGAATAATTATGAATTAAATAAAATTATGATGTGCAGGATGTGATAACCTTCTATAAAATATGGTTACTATCCTATTTTCTATACAATCTCTTTTTGTATGGATTGAAGACTTTGGGAAGTGACAGTTTTGGTTGAATATTTTAGATATTTAAGCCTTAGAGTTAATCTGGTCCACAATTTATAGTTTCTGAGTCAATCTTGTCTTCATTCTAAAGAAACAAAGTAAATCTAGTCCAAAATTTGATATCAAATAGTCAATTTAACCTTAAAATAAAGTACTAGAGCTAATAAAATCTTAAAATTAAAGTCTGACTCTAGGTTTTAAAAATTCAAGTACTAAAGTCAATCTAGTCCTAAACTGAAAGACCTTAGTCAATCTAGTTCAAAATTAATGGACTTTATTCAATCTAGTCCTAAACTGAAAGACCTTAGTCAATCTAGTTCAAAATTAATGGACTTTATTCAATCTAGTCCTAAACTGAAAGACCTTAGTCAATCTAGTCCTAAATTGAAAGACCTTAATCAATCTAGTCCAAAACTGAAAGACCTTAGTCAATCTAGTTGAAAATTAATGGACTTTATTCAATCTAGTCCTAAATCGAAAGACCTTAGTAAATCTAGTCCTAAGCTGAAAGACCTTAGTCAATCTAGTTTAAAATTGAAAGATTTTAGTCAATCTAGCCTCCAATATCTAGACTATAGTTTTCAAAGTGGTTCTCAAAGCTTACTTTGCAATCAACACAAAAATAACTTTCCAACAAAGTCCTTATAACCAAGAATAAACAGATAAACAGCAAATTCATTCATCTACTGTATGCTTCTTCCTAATCCACCACAGTCACCTTCTGCTTTTCATTTCATCACATCAAGCTTTCGCAGAATTCACAATTGTTATATGAAGCGTAAATTCATATACATATGGAAGTATATAAAAGAATTTTATTTGTGCTTTATTGTATCATAATAATGGAAAAATGTACGAGAAAAAGAAGAGCATAGACAGTAATGAAGTGGGTGTTAAGGGCGCATTTTTATGGTTAATGACTGCAAAAATTAGAGTACTTGGAAGTGAGAAGATTTTCCTAGAAAACTCTAGAAACCATAAAATACGTGCCAGATTTCTCTCGTTCAAAAGAGCCACAAGAAGAAAATTGACATTTTGTAGTATTTCAGCACAAGCTCATGTAAATCACGCGGAGAGAAAGGTTGAAAGGATTTTTTTTATTATTATTAAGCATACCAGCTTGACAGCCTTTTTAGGTCATGCATCTACAGAGAATTTGCCACAACTCATGTTCATATTTGTTTAAATATCTCTCACACTGTTGACTCTCATATCCTTATTCATTCACAACCATCCGTGTTTGTGTAAACAGATTATTTTTAAACCATTGCTAGTTGAATAATTCAGTTGAATAATAAAGATAGAACCAGAGAAAGGTACATTAAAGCTTGAAGAAATCGATATCGATAAGCTTTAGATCTACGATTGCATAAATATGTATCGACAAAAAATTACGCAGCAGAAAAATTGCTTCCCTTACCCCAGGCAAGGTTGCTTCTACTCAATTATGACACATTTATTGTTGTGACAATGAAATACGCATAATAGAAAAAAAGGAAGGAAGGAAATATCGAGACAAAATATTTATTCACATTTCTTTTTGGTATAGAATTTTCGCGCGCTTGCTGATATATTTGATTTATGTAGACACGATAACATGAAGGTCATTGAATTCATTGTATGGAATTGACAGACTTTGTTATATTTTCTATTCTAATTCAAAATCACAGAATGTTGGTGGAAAGTAAATGTAGAAAGACTAGTAGCTACCAACTAAGGTCTTGTCCTGACAAGTTTAATGATTTAAATATTCAGTAACATCCAACCTACTTTTATTCAAATTGAGGAACTCCAATAAATGCAACAAACAACTTTAAAGTATACCAAAAGTACCAGCACCCTAATGCACTCAATTTATTGTTTGCACTAATTTCAGAAAAACTTTTCTTACTCAATACAATAGTCTATCCAAAAAGCATGTTTTCCTTTTCTTTTATTCATTTCTACAAAAGCAATTTCTTCTATTAAAGAAGAAGCTGTTTAAAGCTCTACAGGTAGTCACGTGGACTATAAGCATTTCCATTTTCAATTAAGATATATCAGGGCACTTAAAATGTCGTTGATTGTATTGAATAGAAAGGCTATAAACATTATTTTAATTTAAATTACTTTTCTGAGAATATAAATTTTTTAAAATATATTTCTAATAATTCATTGGAATGGGGAAAAGCATGCACGAAGTTCCTGACATTTTCATTGACAAAGCCGCTATTCAAATATTGACAAATTGAAATACATTTATTATCATGATGAATTTGCAGCAGAAGGTCGTTGATATAAAATGTAAAGGCATGATAAAAACATGACTATTGTTATCATCATCATCGATGTTTATGTTTTTGAAATTTTCCAAACATATTTTATTTTCCACAACAATTCCTTTTAATTTCATGTGCATATTTTCATCTCATTCACATTCCATCCCACTACAAATATGTAAACACATACACATCTAGTCATCATCAAATCGATTATTATAATTATAATGACATATGACATGACATGTGTACCCTATTTATTTGCTGTTACGGAAACAGAGCAATCGAAGAAGGAGATAGAGGCACTGAGCAGTCATGTTGAGGAATTTTTTTTCGAGTTTACTGAGAAACAGAATGTGCCTCCTTTGCTAGGTATACAAGGATATACTAGCATCTGGATGACTTACTTACAGCATCTTGCGCACACGGATTGTGACTAGGTACATTGCAGGGTACATCAGATCTTATGACGTACTCGTGTCTTTGCAATGTGCAGAGCTTGCAAGTGGTTCGGATCCCACTATAAACTTTAGGTCTAAAGGGTGTGGTACAATAGATTCTATTCTAATTTGAATCGCAGTGCCTCCAGCTGAAAGGCTGGGCCCTTCACACATTATTATTATTATTACTGAGAAAACGTTGAGATTTATAATTATATGGATGGTGAATGGTGAAAAGTGAATTGATGTCCATTCCTTTGCGTACATCCTTAGACCCTCTCCTCTTGAAATTTCAAAATTGCTCAAAATTTCATTCATTTTAATTTAATATAATTAGATTTCCACGAAATTCATTCATTCATCCACCAACGAAGCTCCAAATTGTCTTATCAGCATAGTCGCAACGATAAAATGTGCTATAAATAGGTCACAAGTGAATAACTTTTCCTTGCTTGATGATGTATGCAAATACTCATTGAATAAATTTTTTGACATGAATAAGATGAGTACAGCCTATGCAGCATATACATTCATTACATCTAAAGTTTATTATTGATCAAGTCCGGTTACAAAAGTCCATTAATCATATTCAAAAAACATCATCATGCATAAAGTCTTTCATGAATGCACTTTACTTCCAATCAATTCAATTATGTTCTAAAATGCTCGCTCTATGTGCCTGTGCAGATTGTACATTTATATGACTTGTTGATAGATGATGAGTATGGAAGACAGGCAATAAAAGAAATTAATTCAATTTTCTCATGTTATTTAGCAAATGTAATTGAATTTGATGTATGTTGTAATTAAGTTTTGTTCCTATCTCCGGCAATTGACTTGCTTCGATGAATGGAACATGATCGATAAAAGTTGGATTTGATATGGACTTGATTGGGTAAAGTGCTGAGCTGTTGGTGTGATTTTTTGGAATTAACTTTATGAAACTTGGAAAAAGATTCTCAATTATTCAACATCCAAGAAGCCTGAATATTACGTTATAGTCTTCTAAGCAAATAATTTTGCGTAAAATGGTATAATGAATCCAATTAAGTGTGGACTTTTACTCAAGAATCCTACAAATCCTATTTGTAATATTTACTAGAGTCTCGTAACTTTCTCAGAAGTTGGAAACCTTCGTTATGTAAAAACTTAATTAGACGCTCATAATAGCTAGCTGATAGGCAGTTATAGACTAACAGTTCAAATAAATCTTGATCGACACTCCACTTACGACACCTAATATAATTTCAATTCTCGGAAGGAAGCACCCTTATACACAAACATTTTAAAAAATACCCAACTTCTGAGAAAACATCAAAATTTAACAAATATTCATGTCTGATGCAAAGTCCTGCCATTCATGGATGGAAAAATTTGCATATAATTAAGTCCTTCAATTAACAGACGCGGGCCAGAGGTTGAATAACTAATTCAACGGATCTTAATTGATACCAAATAATTTTTTGTGGTTCAAAACGTTTAAGGGGGGAGGGGGGGTGACAATAACCTCT